GACCTCATCCGCCTCGAAGGTGGCGCGGATCACCGCGACGGCCGACGCGTTCATGGACACGCGCGTCGCGACGAGCTGCTCTGGCGAGAAGCGCCAGTTGCGAAAATGAGTGCTGCCTTCGAACAATGATGTCTTCTCTGCCGTCCCTCCATCTGTGAGCACCGTCATGGTGGTGAGAAGAGTTGAACGCGCCGTTCAATACTCGGAGCCGATGCTGCCGGCGAAAGCCCGGCGGCGCGTGTTGTTGCGTTGCTCCGTATCCAAGCACCCAACCGCGATGACCGAAAGGAACACTCACGGCCTGCACGCACCCGTGGCCCCTGAGATGATACCAAGGCGGCCGGTCTTTGCCCTGATCCTTGCGCTCGACGTCGACCACGACGACTGTCGCTCGCAGCGCTGACCATGTTTCGTCTTTTCATGCGCCGTCAGCCGCCCCAGGCCGGGCTTTTCGATCTTCTCATCGCTCTCTTCACCCTGTCATTCTTTCCGCATCCCACGCTTGTCTCCGCTCAATTCCTCGTAAACGGCCAAATCTTCACCAATGCGTTGGCTATTGTCGACGCTCCGGCGCCTAACAGCACCTTCCATGCTGGCGCTAATATGCCGATTGCGATAGATGTGCGTCTTCCCCTATGAATCTTCAGCTGGGCTCCGCAGAGCGAAACACAGGTCTCTGGTGATGGCAAGCTTCAGACCGCTGCTCAGGCTCCCAACTCTGGACTGGACACCTCCTTCGATTCGCTCGAGCTCTACCTTACCTCAGCGTCTCAGAAGATGAATCTCACGATCATGTCCAACGGATCTGGCTTCCTCCAGCAAGAGCCTGGCAGCACCGTGAAGCATCTCGACTTCCAGTTGAGTAACTGCATTCCCGAAGGGGAATACAACGTATGTTCTTCATCTCGGACGGTGTTGAAACAGCACTCAAGTGTGCATAGTTTACAATCTACGAAGCTTCGCACATCAACGGGACGGCGTGTTACACCATCACGTCGTACCCTGTCGCCATCCAAAATACCAAATTCAACGGCACTTGCGAGTCTGGCACCAACGCGCTACAGAGCCTGCCGCAGAACTCCTCTCCGCCATCAAGCAATCCGCTTCTAGACACGTCGACACTCACACCACTGAACGTGAATTTCGTCAACGCCGGGACGCCGGGAAAGACTGTAACGACCTCGCTGGCCGAGGGAACCACCGTAACTCTGACACTCGGGCCTTCAGGTACATCTGGCATTAGCCCTACTGGCAGTCCTTATCCCTCTTCGGGGATGAAAACAAAGACCAGGGAGCCGCCTGCGACTGTCACTGAAGTCGTGACGATCGTGCTTGTCGGTTTCGAGACCATTGTGACAACTTTACCGGGCCAAACTATACCGTTTACGCAAGTGTGAGTCATAGTCTTGACGCACATCTGCTTTCCTTTAGTCTGACATATCCCTACATTAGCGTAACCTCGCTCGAGACACAGACTATCACGGCGACCCCCACGCCTGTCAATAATGCTCAAGGCTTCACACCTTTGAATAGCGCTCCCGGCCCTCTCCTTCCTGCTCCACTACTCGTCCTTTCTACTCTACTGGTCTGGTTCGTGGTTTTTCTGTCGTTATTGGGTCCCTATCAGTTTTTGGCCGCGGGTTGATTCCCGACTTGTCCTGTCTTTACTCCTTGAAGCACCTTTTTGCTGTATTCCATCGCAATCTGCCAACGAGTCCAGATGTCCCTCGGACATGGTATTGTCAGCCACGGTCAAAGGTCCCCGATCAAGAGGCCGCACATGGGCCGACACCACCGCCACCTCTCATCGCCAGACATCGGTCGCCAATGTGGAGGATATGGTATCTCGTACCTTCGACCATTCAGGAGCTGGCAGTGGTGGAATTCGCCCCCGCATCAAGTGGCGGAAGCGCAGACAGAGGGATCATAGACTCGCGATAGACATGAGTCTCCCCGAGTTATCCTCGCTGTCGACGGGCCCACGGGAAATCCAGCGGTATAAGCGTTGTCAGGAAACACATCGAACCGAAAGAGAAGAATAGTCTGTGTGTATATCTTGCTCGTTGTACGTACCTTGTATCGCAAGTACTAGTGGACATGGTCGATATAGGGACAACAGATCGTCTGCATCAGCGCACTAACTCATTGGAGAGTACATACTGATGCGCTTCGTACATACAGGCGGTAGGTGAAAAATCTGACTAAGCCCCTGCCTCCTTCGCCTTGGCCTCCTTCTTCAAGCGCTTACGCTCTCTTCTCGCCTCTTCATCCTCCTCGCCCTTTACAGCCGCCTTCTTAGCTTTCTTCTCCGCTTTTCTCCTCTTCCGCTCCTCATCATCCTCTTCGGCAGCACCGTCATCCGTTACTGCCATGGAGACGTCGCCTGCGTCAGTCTCAGCCGCCTCAGACTTGCGCTTGCGCTTCTTCTCCTTCTTCTCAGGAGAAGTTTCGACTGCTGCGATAGCAACTGGAGCGACGGAAGGTGCGGGAGGCTGTACGACAACCGCGGCCGAGGCACCGTTGGACTCAGGTTGCTCGCGAGTGTAGTCGACGTAGTCCCGGCTCCACTCAGCCGGCGTCGCGTCAATCTTCTCGCCATGCTTTCCAAGCTTGCCCTCCTTAACCATCTTCTTCTTCTCGAGCGCCTTGGGACCAAGACCCCAACGGCGCGGGTAGGTGTCACGCTCCATGATGCAGCGCTTGACTTTGGCTACAACGCCATGATCGCACGTTGCGAGCTCGACCGTGGACATCAATGCGATACCAAGTGCGATGGCCTCACCCTTGGTGGTCATGAGGACGACCTCTTCGTGTACGGAGATGTCTGCTTCGTAGCGGAGGAGACCAGGAATCATCAGCTTTGCGCCATAGCAAACGGCGTTGACGGCGCTGTCTTTGACGACGATGCGCTTGTACCCAACGAGCAAACACTCCAGTGGGCGGATGACCCGGCGAAGGTACGACTCTGGATTGGGTTTTCAGCCTATCATCAAGGAGCACCATATGCTACGGCTCACCATCGCGAGTGTTGTCGTACATCCATTGAGCGTCGAGAACGTCGTGCATGGTCACCATGTCGTCATTTTCGGAGAGCGCCCCACTCCGTACACGGCGAAGCTCCTGCATATGGCCACCGACACCTAGGAGCAGACCAAGATGCACGCAGAGGGTACGGATGTACGTCCCAGCCTCGCATGAAACCCAGAAAACGGACAGATTGCGCTTCTCATCAAACTCAAGCAGCTTGGACTCGTGAATGGTACGAATGCGGAGTTGGCGCTTCACGGCCGAGATGAGAGGGGGTCGCTGAAAGAGAGCGCCCGTGAGGGTTTCCAGGGCGCGAGGCATGGCGGCGGGATTTGGCAATGCGTCGTGTAGGCGGAGGACGGCAACATACTCCTTTCCTGTGTTAAGATATGAGTATTTAATGTCGACTATTGCAGTCAAGGAAACATACCTGCACCCTGCTGCGACTTGACGAGACGGGTCGCACGGTCGATGCAGACGATAAGACAGCCGGTGACCTTGGGGTCGAGCGTTCCGCTGTGACCGGTCTTTTCGGAGCGAAGGATGCGTCTGAGCCATGCGACAACCTCATGCGACGAAGGGTTGGACGGCTTGTCGAGGTTGATCACACCGGACCTACACACAGTTTAGGGCCTCGATCCAAGCATCTTGTAGGACTGTACGCACTTGATGTACGACGCAATGTCGCGTTTTAATGGGCTGCAGCCGGAGGGGATGGGCGTGAAATGGCTACTCCGCACGAGCAGCTTGTCGTAGTTTTTTAACAGCAGCGGCCACTGCGAGGTGTCGAGCACGGGCTGCACATTTTCGGGCTTAATGGAGTATTCACCCTCAACTTGCCGAGAGGCGACTTGTCCGAGTGCTGCCACAGACGCCATGGAGGACAGAAATGAAGCTTTCCGGTCGTGCACGCAAAAAGCCGTAATCAGCGTCGCACTCGCGGCCCGCGTCTCCCGGCGTTCGCGTCCTTCTGGACCACCAGCTTTTGAGCAGCTTCGCTGAGTGACATCGAACGTGAGAAATGCATCGACCTGGATATTGTAGTCTGCGAGCCATTCGATGGCGCTATGCTATGCGTGATCATTGACAGCCTATCAATGGGACATGTTGATCAATAGCCGAGCAAAGGCATCTGTAAATATTATATTGCGGTTGGCATTCACGTCAAGGATTGTGCTCGACAGGGTGCAGAGACTGGCCTCGTGAAATCAATATGCGGAAAACCTACAATATCTCTGATAGGCTCGCCGACGGCAGTTGTGGCATCGACATCAGACGTTGTCGGAAACGTTTCGTGGTCACCACGCACGGGAATTCAGACCTGCGGAAAGCTATATTTGCAGCTTCAACGCTCTGTCACTCATGGAACAACGCTGTGTACACAATGAACGCGATGATAGCAGCGGGCCTGTACAAGACTGATCAGCGCCGAGTGATGAAGACTGTTGTGCTGTAGGCAGTGCGTCGCCGAAAGCGATATTGATTGATATTGATCCATGTGGATGGCGTTTCTTCCTCTCGCTTACGGACATGCGCGAGGTGGTATTCGGGTTGGCTCTTCTCATCCGTCTTGTCCTGCGTCTTTCAGCATATCAAACGCATTCGCAGCCGTCAGCGTCATGCCTCAAAGCGATGAGCTGGTCAACGAAACGGCGGAGAGTCGTGTTGCAAGGACACCATCATGATCGGCATCGAACGGGTGCACCGCCTGATGGAAGGATATAAGTCAGTGGCTGGGCCTGCGGGAAGGTACATTCTCTTTCTGCCCCAGGGCTTGTGCGTGTGCTTGTTCTCTTCCCTTTCCTAGCGACGACTCCTTTTGTTCTCATTTTCGGCACCGGCTTCTATCAAGCGCTCAGGATCGCACTTATTATCTTCACCTTCACGACTAGCTCCCAGACCACGACCTTCTCTCACCTTAACGTCTTCCACTCGCCATGTCCAAGTCACAGCAGAAGGCCGCTAAGCCCCTCCCCAAGTTCGACGTTGGTACGTTACTGCCGTTGCACGCTCCACGGGACATGCCGTTCATGCCAACACCCCGTAGGCGCCGACTATAAGCTGTTGCACAGCCTGGGCGAAGGCGCATACGGCACTGTCGTTGCCGCCCTTCATCGACCGTCTGGAAGGCAGGTCGCCATCAAGAAGGTCCTACCGTTCGAGCACACCCTTTTCTGCTTGCGCACCCTGCGCGAGCTCAAGCTCCTTCGGTTCTTCTCTGACACTTGTCAAAACGAGAACGTGTGTCCGCTCACCGCACTTGCGCTCCCGTAACGTATTGACGATGTGTTGTAGATCATATCGATCCTGAGCATCATCAAGCCGGAGTCCTTGGACTCGTTCAAGGAGATCTACTGTGCGTGACACGTACTGGCGCCTGGTGACAGCACACTCACATTCACACAGTCGTTCAAGAGTTCATGCAGACCGACCTGCATAGAGTCATCCGCTCTCAGAAACTGACTGATGACCACTGCCAGGTAACGTTGCCAACCGTTGTCACATGTCAGATCCCAGCACTAATGTTCCATTGCCTACAGTACTTCGTGTACCAGACCCTCCGCGCTCTCAAGACCATTCACAGCGCAGACATCGTCCACCGCGACCTCAAACCCGCGAATCTGCTCGTCAACGCCAACTGTGACTTGAAAGTGTGTGACTTCGGCCTGGCGCGCAGCGTCAAGACGTCGAGCGCGCAGGGTGGCAAGGATATCGGCATGATGACAGAATATGTGGCTACGCGGTGGTACCGCGCACCGGAGATCATGTTGTCGTTCAAGATGTACACCAAAGCTATTGACGTCTGGGCAGTCGGCTGCATCCTAGCCGAAATGCTCACCGGTCGACCGCTCTTCCCCGGCCGCGACTACAGCCACCAGTTGGACCTCATCCTGGACGTCATCGGTACCCCCACGCTGGACGAGTTTTACGGCATCACGTCCCGTCGGTCGAGAGATTATATCCGTGCCCTTCCAATCCGCAAGAAACGCCCCTTCACGGCCGTCTTCCCCAAGGCGTCACCGGATGCAATCGACTTCCTTAACCGCACGCTCACCTTCGACCCCAAGAAGCGCATGACGGTCGAGGAGTCCCTTCAGCACCCGTACCTGGCCGCATATTACGACCCCGGCGATGAGCCGACCGTGCATTCGATCGATCCCGACGCGTTCGAGTTCGATGACAACAGGGAGCCCCCGAGCAAGGCTGAGCTCAAGCAGCTCTTGTACGAGGAGGTCTTGGCATTCGAGCCGACCATCTAATTTATCAAGCTTATTTATCCTTTGCGCTCTGTACTTCCACCCGGTGTTGCTCTTCTATCCTGTCGTCGCTACACAGTCGTTATTGTATATTTTGTCCTTATACCCTTGTTGGAGAATAGGAATGTGGAGAAACATTGACTTATAGGAGTTACGTTATGAAGCCGGGGATATATGAATGAAGGTAAACTGTACAAGGGGATACTAGTGGTTGTGCAAGTGCAAAGCGTATCGAGAGCTGAGTGTGTTGGCGGCATGTGCAAGGGCAAGCAGTAGTGAAAACAAGGGGGAGACCACGCCTAGCGTCCTATAGGATGATTCCAATCGAATCCAAAGTCACCGAAGCGGGTGTCTTGACCGACTTCGGTTCCGTATAGTGTGCGATGTGCGGGAGGCGTCTGCTGCAACGCGGCAGCGATAGCACTGTACTGCATCCCATTCGCTCCCAGGCCGAAAGTATGCGGATGTGTGAATGTTGATGGCGGTGTCGCAGGATGTGGTGCAGGGGCAGGTGTGGGCTCAACGGACATTCGAATAGTAGGTTGCGAACTTCCTGCTCGAGGGCCACCACCTATGCGGGACGTGGGAGCTGGTGTGGGCGAATGCGGCGCGGCAGGAAAAGGGAAGTGATTCACTACAGGCGAATCGTCCGTCTGACCAGCAGCCGGTACGGGCGCGTGTGTATCGGGTGTCATGGTAGTTCCGGGCACCAGGCCGCCGCCCAGACCGCTGAACGGAAATGTCTGACGCTGATTCTCCAACGCATGGGCAGTGCTCGTAACAGGACCACCGACGCGCGCGTGCACCTGCGGAGCATCGAAAGAGTCGAAGTCACGATCTGTGGACTGCGCGTTCATCGCATCCAAGGACTCTTCTTCTTCCGGGCCGGCGTAGATAGTAAACGGCTGTGGCGCAGGAATGCCGCCGGGTTCGACATCAGGATCCTGAGGAGGTTCATATGCAGGTAGCGTTAACCCCCTCTCTACTGTTGAGTCCAAGCGCAGGCGTTTATGTGGATGTGGTCCTTCCAACGTCTCCCGAGACTCGACTATGGGTAGCCTTGAGGGTCCAGCTACGGGTGTCGAAGAGGGGACTTCATCAGCAAGCGGCCTGCGTCGCTTCCCGAGAGCGTAGTATCCCTGCTCCTTTGAGGACTTCTTCGTCGATGGGGGAGGCGGGAACTCGATGATGGGTCCGGATCTATATTCAGCGTGAGTTGGTTGAGAAATCCTGCAGACACAAATGTGAGTGAAACCTCGGGTAATAAGGACACGAAAACTGACGGAGGCTGTGAGCCGCGAGACGGCAACCCAAACTTCATGGACTCGGGGAATGGCTCAGAGCTCTTGCGCGCAGGATGAGTGTCTATAGTCATTTGCTCGACGGTTGAACGCAGACCCTCGAGAGAGTGAGCTTGTCGGCGACAGCTCTCGACCTCGGAGGTCAAGTCGTCCACGCGTTTCCGCAGAGCATCCACCTCCTTGCGGTGCGCAGTGGCGCTCTCGTCCAATTCCTGGCGAAGTGCCGCGACTGTGGACAAAAGGGGTTGGACCTGCACAAAAGGGATGAGGAGCGGTACTTCAATAGCGCTATAATCCGACATACTTGTTCCTCTACAACCTGCCTTATATGCGCCCTCGCATCCTCAGGCAACGTAACGATTGAGATCTCCGTTGTCCGAGCACGAAGCTCGCGAGTCTGAGAAGGCCCGGCAATGGGCGTAATCACTGAAGGGAATGATGAGATTCAGATCGAACTGACTGAGCACGCAAACGTACCCGCATCCACGTCTTGTGGTTGCTCTGAGATGCGTCAGACCGGTGCATTCAGAGCGGAAGCATGGGCTCACCTTCGGCTATGGGCTCCTCTGCTGGTCTTCCGACCCTGCTCGGCTTCGCCCTCTTCACCTTAGGCTGACTGTCCGCCCTCGTGACAGCCCTAGGGCCAGGGCCACCCGCGGCGGTCGGTCTTCCGACTCCCAGTCTTAACTGTGTATTCTTCGCCTTGCGCGTACGCGTCGCCGGGCCGGTAGTTGTCACCGGCGATGGAGCCACTTCGGACTCAGGAAGGGGCACCGGGGTCAGAGCGCCGTCGTCAGTAGCGTCGGTATCATCGTGCTGGACTATCGTATTATTCGACTGCAGCCGGGGTCGCGTCCGGCTGCCGACGCGACTCGGCACTGAACGTGAGTTGACGGGAATGGTGGGCGTAGGCACGGGATGCACGGCACGTTCGCTGAGCATGGTATGAGAACAGATAGCGCAGTTTGATGGGCGTCTATCAACTCACGATTCCGACGCAAGCAGCTCGACCAGCTCCTCCGTCTTAAGGTTCGCGCGGATGCCGTACGTCTGTGCGGCTTGTAAACCAGTGTTCACCACAAAATTAGAGCAACGCACCTTGCTCAGGCGTTGTAATTCTGTGCGTCTCATACGTTTGAGGTCCTCTCTGCTGAGCATCGAGGTCGTGGTTAGGAGCAAGTCGTGATGACTTCAAATCAGAACGGAGGGCCTAGACACGTGCGCCGGACCCGCGTGTCCCGATTAGGCTTTCTCAGGCCCAGTCTATCGCCACTTGCCTTGGCCTTTGCCGAAACCACCATCGCCGGACACACACGAGCATTGACAGGATCATCGGTTTCTGTGCGCGCGCCGACCGTGTGCGCTTTCTCGGTGATAGCCCGTCCCGCGCTTGCCACTCAATCTCGACGAGAAGTTCGCGGCTCTCCAGTGGCGGACCGTGACTTCCGCCTACCGTGCACCCGTGATGTGGGGCAATACGGTGCAAACATGAGGATCTTGTTGCTCTTTCAAAACGACCACCTCCTCGGACACACAAACCCTCCCTCTCCTACATGTCTCTCTCGTTAGAGCAGGTCGCAGCTCACCAAGACGTCAGGCGAGTCGCGGCGGTCTGATGAGCGACTATAGCGCTGATCGCTCTCGGCGTAGCTCTTGCTGGATCATCATCAACGGCAAGGTCTACGATGTGACAGAGTTCTTATCTGAACATCCAGGGGGACGGAAGGTCCTCCTTCAGTACGCCGGTAAAGACGCTACTCAGGCCTATGAACCCATCCATCCGCCGGGTACCATTGAGAAAACTTTGTCTGCCGACAAGTGCCTTGGTGAAATCAGCTCAGAGGCTCAACATGCTCTTGACTCTGCTCGCAACCTGAAGAAGAAGACCGTAGATGAGAGGCGCGTTGAAAACGCGTTGAGAGCGCGGCCTAGCATAGACCGCATGCTCAGTCTCTTCGACTTGGAGAACGTCGCCAGACAAGTTCTCACACACAAAGCTCTGTCTTATTACAGCTCTGCGGCAGACGATGAGATTAGTAAGCCTTCGCGATCTATGATGTCTGAGGCGTGTCATGACTGAAAGGTTCAAGCGTATCATGAGAACGCCCGCGCTTTCGCGAGATTCTTCTTCCATCCGCGGGTGATGCGTGCTGTCTCTCGGTGTGATCCATCAAGCACCATTCTAGGCTTCAAGTCTTCGATACCTGTCTTCGTCTCCGGCGCGGCTCTGGCACGTTTGGGGCATCCTGACGGTAAACCTACGTCTGATGATCGCATATATACGACTGAAACCTCACGTTAGGCGAACTGAACATTACTCGCGGCGCGTACAAGACCGGCATAATACAAATGGTTTCGTCGAATGCATCATTTTCCTCGGAACAGATCGCCAGCGCCCGTGGCTCGCCTGATCAGCCACTCTTCTTCCAATTCTACAAGCACAAAGACGACAAGATCGCGGAGAAACGCATCAAAGACATAGAGGCACAAGGTTACAAAGCTATATTCTTGACCGTTGACGCCATTGTCGCCGGTAACCGGGAACGCGACAACCGTGCCCCTTTCGAGATCGAGGATATGGAAAGTGCAGCAGCTGAGAATGACAGCACACATCTCGAGCACGACAGCAGCGCCGTCGCTATCGCAGAAGGCGGAGGTCACGCAGGTGCGCTTTTGGCATCCGATGATGTAGACATGACTTGGGAGAAGGTCATCTCACGACAGCTTCCCGATAAACGACGTGTCTGACAAGCACAACTAGACCATTCCTTGGCTCAGAAGCATCACGAGGCTACCTATCGTCCTGAAAGGTATAGTCCGATTTATGGATAGCCGTAGTGACTCGTTGACGCGATATCTCTCTAGGCATTCAATATGTGGAGGTTATAGCATATCAAACAATAACGCTCCCGATCACAGCTGATGAAAATTCTCTAGGACGCTATTTTGGCAGCTGACGCGCGTGTCGACGGCATTATGATATCAAATCACGGAGGTATAATCAGTTTTGCTCAATTTCTCTTGGCACCACGTTCACGAATCAATCAGGTAGACAGCTGGAGTAGTGAGTCACGCATTGCTCCACGCAACCGCATTCGCACATCGTTCTTCCACAGTGCCCTGCCACCCATCGAGGTACTGTACAAGCTGCGAAAGCAACATCCAGATGTTTTTACTAAGCTGGAGGGTAAACGTCTTGTAGTGTTGTATATCAGACTTTGTGCTGATATGTCCTATTTTTGGCAGTGTACCTTGACGGTGGAGTGAGGAGGGGAACTGGTGGGTCCGGCTGAGCGCGTATATGCACACCTTTCGTTGACGCCGCTACCTACGACAGACGTTATCAAAGCGCTGTGCCTTGGTGCTAAAGCTGTTGGCATGGGGCGTCCCTTCTTGTACGCGCAGTCCGCCTATGGCGAAGAGGGAGTCGTGAGAGCCGTCCGGATCCTTGAGCGGGAAATGCTCACTGGCATGCGTCTGATGGGAGTGGCCAGCGTCTCTGAGCTGAGACCGGAACTGGTGTGTGACGTGGGTATAGCATTGACCGCGCGGACGCTCAGTCTACATTCCTTAGGTTGAACGCGTAGACTGGCAACCGACGGCGCGTTTGTGACGAGTGAACAGCTTCTGATGATGATGGCGACACCTATCAGGTTTGAGATGCTCAAGGCAATCATTCTATACTTTGAATGTACCGCATATTGCTACTATTCCACCGAACTTCCACTCGTACATGGATATAAAGCCCCTCCCGAGAGGCCGAATAACTGCAAGGGCTCATCTTGCCAAACTGAGCGATCTTCGGTGCACGTGCTGTTCGAATGTTCGAATCAATCGCGTGGTCGCCCTGCTTGCTCTATCCGCCCATCTACTTCCTACTTTGCTCTCTGTATCTGTATCTCTACTTCAGCCTACTGTCGATTTCAGCTCTACTACGATCGGATCTTTCGAACCTTGTAGCGCCGACACAGCGGAATGGGCTTCTGCAGGCGATGTGGGGACATCGTAAGCGGCCCGCGATGCAAGTGCGGTGGCCTCCCGGTTGGTGCGTGTCTGGAAGGGTCAATATGATCACAGGGCACTAAGTAGCCTTTTTATCAGCTGCGGTACTGCAATGGAATCAGGGTGACACGAAGAAACCATCGACGGACAGGTGGTCGCAAACATACGTCTCTCGCGGCAACTCGACCAAAATCAAGCCTGTGAAGGATCAAGTCAAGGAAGACATACCATCTAGCCGTGCTGGCATCCTGCCTCAAACTACTGGCAGCTCTCAGCAGGGACGCCGCTTCCCTCGCCCTCTGTCAACCAGTGTCTCCGATCACATCACTAACACAACCTCTCCCACGAAAATACGACCTTCCTCTCCACTCAAGTCATCGTACTCTTACGACGCATTTGACGAAGAAGCCGCAGCAGCAAACGCTATCGTGCAGGCTCCGCCTGGCGAAGGCTCGCGACTGGCGAAAGTTCATGGGAGTGTTCTGCAGTCCAAAGAATCGCTCGACTCTTTCCAATGCCATGCCTGTTTCGTGCCCTTCCCCCCGGATGCAACCCTCTATCCGGACCCCCTGAATGCTCTGGGATCACGCTTTTACTGTCGTTCATGCTTCATTCAGAATGGGGGATCGAAGGGGGATTGCCAGGACTGTCACCGTCCCGTCCTGATCCTGAAGAGCGATGGGGGTTTCGTAGAGAATAATAGCAGGGTTTGGCACAAACGGTGCTTCTCCTGTTCCGGCTGCGGCAAGAGCATCGGTGATCAGCCAATGGTAACCACTTGATATCGGTTATGCAACATGCTGTTGACACATTACTGCTAGGTAGACCTCTTGGGCAAGCCAACCTGCCCTGCGTGCTTCGAGACCTGCCTTATCCGAGGCGAGGACAGTCCGAAGACCCCGCGGCGCTATTCGGTGTCTTCCCCGGCTCGTAGCGATGGCGGTACTCTAGGCGGTGTGCGTGGCGGGGATCATCACCAGAGCGGTCGCACGACTCGTGAGGGCAGTCCTGCTCTGGAAGAGCTCGAGCAGCGCCTCGGCATCCGTAGTAGGGAGACCACGCCTGCGCGCGAGGCGCCACCCGCCAAGTTTGTAGTCTCGCCGCAGCCGCGCATCCCTTTCACGTCGCCGAAGATCGCCGGTTCACCACAACCAACGCCAGAGCCCTCGGCTCGTGCGACCCGTGCTTCGGACGTCTTTACGGGATCGCCTCGGGTGGCAGACGTCTTCAGTAGCAGTCCCGCGAGGCATAGTATAGGTGGGGACATAAGCCCTGTCACAAAGAGCCGGGACAGTAGTCCTGCGCATCGTACACGTACACCTCGGACGAGCTTTTCCAGTCCCAGTCCTGGACCTAGCCCCAAACCCACACAAGCTGCGATCGAGGAGATGAAGCAGCGCTTTCTACGTCAATCGCCGGGCCCGTCTCCTGCTCCTGAATCGCCCTCGACGACGTTTGAACGCACCACCCCGACTGCACGCCGCTCAGATATGACTTCAGAGAGCGTATCTACTCGTCGCCTATCGCGTCGTTCCTTCGATCACCCCTCGTCTCCCACAAGGGCAGGGCGGTCGTCGGACGCGATGCTTTGGAAAAAGGCATCATCAACGTCCATGCGCTCCGACATTGAGTCGACACTCTCTATGTCTGCCATTCCTACAGGCCCACCATCCGTGCCCTCTACTCCAGACCTGATGTCAGATTCCTCCGAGTCTATGACCGAGTCTTCTGGGCTTGCTTCTCCCGCTCGCTTCTTTAATCCTTCCCCCGACCCATCTACTCCCGCCGCCTACCGTGACCCTAAAGCTACTATACACGCCCTCTCCCGCGAATCGACCGCACCGCAGAAGACGATTACTACTCCTGGACCCGCTCAAGATTCGGTATGCGGTCAATGCGCTTTGCCGCTCTTCAACGTCGATAGCGGCGGGCGGTACATTACAGTCCCAGATCCTGTCAGTGGAGGACCATCACGCATGTACCACGCCGACTGTTTCCGCTGCCGCATTTGTGACGGCGTCTTCGACGAGAAAGAGGGCGGACAGGCCGTGTTCGTACGCGGTCTCTCTGGCGCGTGCCATCTGGATGTGAGTTTTGGAAATTCCTAACTTTTCAACACGCATCTAAGACGGTTATAGTGCGCACCCTCGGAGAAGATCACTGTACGCACGGTCAGCAATTCAACCTACACACCTACAATCAAGACCCCTCTCTCTACTCCGACTCCCTCTAGAACCACCCCATTGACGATGTCGTCGTCTACGGCGAACTCGTACTCATCCAGCCGATACAGTGCACCCCTCCGTTCAGCTCCAGCCTCGAAGACATCGTTCCATTCACGTTTCGGCTCTGCTTCCTTCTGCCCTGGTTGCCAGATGAATGTATCCCCCATGGAGCCTGGCGTCGTTCCTGGTCCTCAGGGTACGCGCTGGCACAAGGCGTGTTTGATCTGTGGTGGTCGCGAAGCCCGCGGTCGGAACGGACGTCGTAAGGATGGTAAACCGGGCTGTGGCAAGCAACTTGATAGCTCGGCGAAGAGTGATGCCGAGGAGAGGATATGGTGCCGCGAATGTCTGGTGAGGCGTCCCGTATATCATATGTCCTGAATCTCATTTTCATTCCACGCCCGACCCAGCTACTCATCCCGGCTGCTATGCGTGCCCCTCAAACCGTGAAGAGCCAATCAACCGGCAATGGCAGTGTCTTCCCCAAGATCGCTCCTCAGACAACTGGGACGACCATTGCACGTCAGTTCACAGGCATGTCGTCAGGGGGTGAGTCTGCGCTTGTACGTCAGATGACTGGCGGCGGCATTAGCCCGACGCGGCAGCTCACGAGCAGTCCAACCAAGGGTCTCCACCGACAGCACACCGGGGGCAGCACCACGCCTGGATACACCCGTCCAAGGCCCAAGTCAGTTATCGGGATGCGCGACGAGGGGCGTGGCATGTTCCTGGTACGCCAAATGACTGGCGGGGCGACATGATACGTGCCCTTTGAACCGCTTCGACGATTGCTACCATCTCTTTTGCCCATCTTTTCCTATCTTTCCGCCCTGCTTTCGTTCGTTCCGTGTCAGCCAAAGATATGAGAACGTGTACTCCTGCCCATCTCCAGACTTGATCACGATGTTTTCCAAGGACCTTCACGAGCTTTGTCTCTTACCTCTCTTGCCCCCGGTCTACGCCTTGAAATGCGGATCCATGTACAGAACTTCCTACTCACAATATCAATATCGAAATACGTGACCCTGTTCTAAGTGAGAACGGTTGCCATATGCATGTAGGCCAGATGTAGGCGCTACCAAAAGGTTGGGCGAATGAAGCCACCGAAGTACCGCAAGTGTCGCCGGCGCCGACATGATATAATTGAAAGCGATCATTGATCAGGGTGGCCAGATCCGGCCCAGTCTTTTACGGCCATGACAACCTTGCAGACATGTCATTCAACAGGCTCGTTGCCATTGTGCCGCGGCCCGGCGTTGCCTAGGTAAACATGGCCGAAGACTGCGGCCGTCGGTGCCTGTGAGCCTTCTGTTGAGCAGCATAAGCGACGAAGCGCGCTCACGGTGAACTTCTTTCCGCACGGCCGGCCCTTGGGCCATCTACCCATTTCTCCTCACTTCGACGCCAGCGTTCACCGGCTGCCCTTCATTCTTTTCTTTCGTCCAGCTAGCTGGCGTCTCTTTCTGTCTTTACTGCCGGGCAGTATCCGGCCTTTCGGTCCTGGGGATCTACGCATTGTTGACTTGTGCATGAGCACGTTCCGCTTGCAGAGGCTTCACTCGCAAGGCCTTATTCGCTATGTCACCCGCGACATACACATTCTCTAAAGCGCTGAGTTTTTCCAGCGACCATACTGTGAGTGAGGCGATTTCAGTCCAATTGGTGTCCCTGACTTCCTTTTGTAGGCGGGATGTCTGGTTGCGGTGAGCGCACTTGTAATGCGTATATGGCGGATGGCGTCCTGATGATTCTCAGACTATACCGGTCATTGCCGTTGGATTTCTCGGGCTTGCGGTTGCGACCTTTCTATTCATCGTGCGCAAAGTTGACTTGTGCGTCTCTACGTTGCCTCTGCGAATATACACTTAATGTTGTTCACAGTGCCCTCGCGTTGGTCTGTGGTTCGGCTTTCCTCGAGTTCCTCGCCGCACTCTTCGACGTAAGCCAGATCTTGGTTCGCGGCGCTGCGGACGAAAGCGTATATTCCGGCACTGTTACTTCCCTGATGCTCGCGCGCGATATATTCTTCAGCTTCGGCAACGGACTGCGTTTTTTGGCTTACTGGACCATCGTCGCGCAGCGCCCGCGTGGTGAAGAGCCTGTCGCGGAACGAGAGAAGCCCTCAGAGAACATATTGATACTCGATCCGAGCATGCACAGCGGCAGCTGGATGCGGTGGGGCGTCGTGGGGATCATCTTGAAATGGCTTACTGCGGCTGTCGCCGTTGCCATCACCCTCATGCAAATACTCTGGCGCGCTGTGGACGAATTCGATAATCTGGGTCCAGTCTATGCGGCGGAGAACGCACTCGAGGTTGTCATGGCTGTCATCTTCATCATCAAGTTGTGTCTCAACGCTGCCATCACGGACACTCCGTCACGTTCGCGCTGGATGACACTGGTGGACTATACGCCGTTGTTCGTCGCCCTTATGTTCACCTTCGCGCTCGGTATTGGTAACATAGCAGTTTGTGAGTACCAACATCGCCTATTTGTGATGCATAGACTGATAGAGGATAATAGTCCCATTCTCCGAGTCGACCGCAGGTCGCCTCATGATCGCTACAGAGATCTACATCGTTCTCGAGACTTTGCTTTGCTGGAAGTTTTACGAAAATGATCGCCGACGACAAGCAACGCCAAGCGAGAAGGTCGACCCTATCGTCAATGGTATCACACCGCACACCAACAACGGTCATAGTTCAACCTTCTTGCAGGCCCCACAACGACCGAGTCCTCTCGCACGCATCTCGGACTCCGGCCAGCGTATCGTCTCCTGGGTGCAACAACCTCGACCTTCGTGGGCGCAACGCATGTCCAGTTTGTCCGGCCGATTCAGACCGGCTCTGGCGCGTGATGAGGCGCGATTGTATAACCCGGAAGACGCGGAGCGCGGGAACTCCCCTACCACTACCGAGAACGGCGCGACGACAACCTACGACCTCAGCCCTTCCGAGGCGCGACAGAGCGCCCGCTACCAAGATCCCGTGTACACTTCTTTCTTCCAAGAGTCGCAAAGGGACGTCAACGCCTTTGGACAGCCGCGCGCGGCCACGCCGTCGGACAGCGGTATAGGAAGTAATAAACGGTCGTCCTTGACATCGTCGTACTACGATCGCCGCGAAAACGACGGTCAAAGTCTGATCATCCCGCCACCTCTCGCGGTTACCACAGGGAACGGTAGTGTTCATTCGCCAATCTACGGTCTCAACGGAACTCTTCGTCCTGAGGGCTTCTCGCCGGTTACACTTGCCACAACAGCAACATGGTCGCCCATGATGAAGACACTAGAGGTGGCCGCGCCTCCTTCATTCGTGGAATCGCCCACCTCGCTTGCACCTCCCCGCCCAATACGAGATAGCGGTAACAATGAAGCTAGCTCGGCGCGCTCATCTGGCTACGACCAGCTTCTGCGAGAACAAGATGAGCTGGAGAAGAGTATCGCGCAGCTACGTTTGCTATCTACGAGCCAGGCGCTGGATAGCATAGTGATTGATCCGCGCCGCCCATTCAGTCTAGAGTCGGGTCGCCCAACTCTCGGGCGGGAGCAGTCAGATAGCTCGGGCAGTGGCCCACTAAAGTCGGCTTCCCTCCGCAGCGAATTCTCCCTCAGCGTATTCCCGGAGCCTCCACTTGCTCGCCGCTCGAGCCAGGTTCGCCCACAGTCGTTGGAGGAATTCGTCGACAACGCATCAACGGTCATGCCCACCCGGGCTCGCGAACACATTCGCCAGGATAGCAACGACTCCCACATAGACGTTGATATTGAGCGTGCTACAATGGACTTCAAGAATACGAAGCTGAGCTTCCGCGAGTCAGCCATAGACTTGCTTCCCCCTCGTATGCCCGCTTTAGCAGACGAGTCGAGCCAGACTGTGCCGTCTTCCACGCGAACGAGTGAAGATCACAGCGAGTATCGACCGCCTGCGTCTCGACTGGACTCTAATGGGACACAGTATGACGTGACGTCGTTCATCGGTAGTACGTCGCAGCTTGGCCAGCCAGAAACAAAGCTGACTCGATGATAGCTCTGACCGTTCCGTCTCACAAGAAGGCGAGCTCCTCGCTCTCAGTGATCACCAATGTAATCATGGCCCCGCAGCGACACGAGGTTGACGGGCAAAGCGAGACTTCTATGTCACCTGCACCAAGCGATCTGTCAGCGCGAATCGTCGCCGTAGAGCGCCGTCCATCCGCTCGTGTAGTCCGTCTCGAGGGCAGCTCCGAGGGGTCTCGAACGAGCGTGCCAGTCTTGCCTTCGCCCCCGCGCGTGATAACTATCCCGCCGCGAAGCAATTCTGCGGATGATGCCGACGGGTCTCTCAAATCCGCTTCTGCCCATGACTCGCCTACGGAAGGACGCGCGTCCCCGACGTCGTCTGGACGGCGAGTGGAGTTCGGTCGTACGCCCAGCGGTCGCAAAGCCGGCCTTCCCGCGCGACCGCGAATGGTCAATTCCTCAGCAACTATCGACGAAGAGGTCGCGTCCGAGCAGTCGCACTCAAGCTCGGTCGCGACAGTGCAACCGCCATTCTGAATATGGTGTAGAACCGGGTTCGTGACATATCAGTGCTTTCGTCTATGCTTCAAGTTGCTCGCCTTGCGCCTTGACATGTAACTTTCGATCTTTTCCGTTCCTTGCAATGTACTTGTAGTTCCATTGCGTACCTGCGCTTCGCAATCCATTCGTGTGCTATACACGTACTGTGGTGCACATTCAGAATAGTGGTAGGAATATCACAAGATAGGGTCCTGTACACGTGGAGACAGCGCTGAGGAAATCAAACTACGTCATCGAGACCGCGGGGCCACTTCCTTCACGCGCCTTGCAGTGAGGATAGCAGTCACTTGGATCGACACACTCATGTCTGCCTTCCCTGACTATTACGCCATTCTCAACGTCCCCACAAGTGCATCTACGGATGAGATTCGACAGGCGTATAGGAGAGAATCGCTCAGGTATGTGTGGCGGTTTTTGGCT